TGAGTTGAGTTTTCACTGGCACCTAAAACAGAGTAAAGAAAGTGCCGGTCACACTTGAGCTGGTGGGGGGAGAATTCCAAGACCAGGGTGCCACCACTGAGAAGGCCCTCTCTGAGGTAAGTGAGCAACATGCTTTACCTGGAGATGGTATAACAAGAAATACCTTGCCAACTGGTTTTAAAGCCCCGGCAGGATGGCACAGAGATAGGTGTTCCTTCAGATAATTGAATCCCAAGTCATTTAGTGACTTCTATGTCAATGTGGACACTTTGAATTGGGCTTTGTAGATTCTCTGGACTTGGTGTTGTGAGGTTCCTGCTGACTAAACCATTCCAATTTCTGGCAGCCGTGTTCTGGACCTGCTGCAGTTACTGAACTGCAAATACTTGTCAAGGGCAGACCCATAAAGAGTGCTTGACAGTAATCTATTCTAGCCTATTGCTTGTTTGTTTTATTGATCAATTCCATTTATGAATCACTTCCCATAAAATATTTCATGGTAAAAACATTGGCAATAAAAACAGTTCCGTATATACAATAAAAAACAATTCCAGGTACTATAGACAAACATTTTCAAATCCAATACAGAATGAAATAAAGGTCTTCGAGTGGTGCCCAAAAGATTAGGGATATAAGACCAAGCCCTGCTGAATCAGACCAATGGTCCATCATCCTGTTCTCACAGTGGCTAACCAGATGTCTATGGGCAGCCTGCCAGCAGGATTTGAGAGCAACTCAATGGTATGCAGAAGTATACTGCTTCTGAGAGTGGAGGTAGAACATGGCAAAGTTGCCATTGAGAGCTTTCTCCTCCGTAAGCATGTAGCCAGGTTCTTTCCCTTCATTAATGATTGAACTGGTGAACCAGCCAAAGCTCAAGAACTCTAAAAGCCAGCCAGGAAATCCCACTGCTGTGTTATTATTTCCACAATGTAATGTCAGATATGGGTGCCAGACAGGTATCCTATTGTATGGTCAAAAATAACTGACTGCAGCAGGGCTGTGCCAGAACAAACTTGGTGCGCTACGTTAGAGAGCAACCTCTTCTTCATGTGGGTATTTAGTATGAAATCTGGACAGAGCCTGCATGATCTAAACTCTCCATCTGTAGGCCCCATCTGATCAGGAACTGTGGAAAGCAAGGTCCTGCCACACGTACAGAGCCTGTGCACAAACAGGTAATACATGCATGAGCTCTGTTCACAAGTTAATCTCAAGACACATAGGGAAAGAACTACAAATAGGGTCCAGCCCAAGATATTTTGCTGCCTGAGGCAGAATAGCAAATCCCCACCCAAGCCTGGCCAAGTAAACTGGCTCCTGAGGCAGAAAATCCTACAAGTGCATACCACCTCTGATACCGTATTTAATAGCCATCTAGCTAGTATTGCCTATAGTTAGGAGTAACAGGGAAAGGATGTTATTCACATTGTACACCGAAGTAAACTTAGGCTTGCAGGTAGGGGTGTGCAGGTAATCATGCTCTTGAAGAATCCCATACAGTACTGGCCAACCAGATGCCTGAGGAGCAAGCAGGGCTCACTCAGGACCAGCCCTACCATTAGGCAAAATCAACTGCCTGATTTTGGGTGTCATTAAAGGGTAGCAAATGGTTATTGTTTTAATCTGTTATTAGTGTATTTTAACTGTCAGGGAAAGGCACTAAAGACATGAGAACATAACAAAAACTACTAGATCAGATGAAAGGTCTATATCAAGTCCATCAGTCTTTCCCAGCAACAGCCAACAAGATGGCTATGAGAAGTCCACATATACACAACAGCACTCTCCTACCCATGATCCCCAGTGACTGGTATTCGGAAGCACACTGTCTCTGATATGGAGTGAAATACATAGCCATCCTAACCAGTAGCCATGGGTAGCCTTATCCTCCATGGGCACGTCTAATCCCCTTTTAAAGCTACCTTCAGCTAGTGGTCATATTCACATGTTGTGATAGCAAACTTCTTAAGACTACAGCCTCCATGACGACAACAACAATGTTTTTGCAGGTTTCAACTAGTTCTCCCACTAACATCAAAGCAATGTTTCAAAGGACTCAAATATTCTTCAACAGCACTGATACTTCAGTGGATCACAGGTTAGCAGAAGTACACAGCACTTCTCAATCCAACTCCAACAAAAGAAGACTCTCAGGGGGAGGTCAGATTTGTCCATTGCTTGAGACACCTAAACTATACAACCAATCACATATTCAGGATGCCCTCTATGATTATGAATCTTGGAATTACAAGATTGACCCACTGGAAGATGAAATTCAGCATCCATTTAACTGGCATTGCCAATCAGGTTCTGAAAAATGAAGCCATTCTTGGTTATTCTCCACCTCTGAGATATTACAGACCAGAAACCACAAAATGGGAGAAGTTTCCAAGCAAAGAGATGAAGCAGTGGCTGAATTATAAACACTGGTGATGGCATAAAAGTGTGGACAACTTAAATGACCACCTTAAAGGGTTTTTTGTGCTTACTCTTTTGCTTATAGATATAATTGCAATAATAAATAACTGTGGGAGAAGAAACCACAAACAGCTCTTTCTGCCAAACCCATAGGGTTTCTTCTTATTTAGAACCTAGGAAATTGCCTTATAGCAGGTCGGATCAATGGTCCATGTAGCTCTGTATTGTCCATACTGACTGACAGAAGCTCTCCAAAATTTCAGGTAGGGGTCTCTCCCAGCCCTCCCTGGAAAAGCTGGGGACTGACCTTGGGACCTTGTGCATACAAAGTAGATCCTATGCCACTTTTCTCACACCATTTCAAGGAGGATAGAAATCAGTCCAATCTGAATTCAAGTTTCCACGGGCACCAAACAAATAAACATTTCAATGGAATATATTCCAATCTGACGCCATCTGTTAAATGTCTCAATAGTTGTTGCAGCAAGAGGTTACAAAGGCGAAAAAGGAGGAAAGAGATTGTTATTCTTATTAAAAACACAATGACAAATAAAACACAATGATTTATCTAATAAACGTAATGTAAATTGCTTTATTTGACCTTATGTTCACAAAATAATTTTTATTATATGTATGAAAGCAGCTTACAGGCAATAAGAATTATGAAAACATTCACAATACTTAAATAACACAGACCTGATTCAGGGTGTATATTTTCATTAGGCTTCTAATTGATCTCTCCCAGTCTTCTTTTGCTGACTACACTTCGGGATGAATGCTATAATAAAGAGTATGTTTCTGCAAAAGTTTGGGGTTTTGCTAACATTCTTACCCTTCCCCTCTCAAAAGGAACCCCCCAGATTATTCTCTTGGAATGTGTTTGTATATCAATGCTGGTGTCTGTTGGTGGGATTGGCATCATCATTGTTTTAAGTTTGTATCTTCAAGGGAATGTCGCAGGAATTTTGGTTTCTACGTAGGTAGTCAAAAAGAAATATTGGGCAACTTGTGGGATAGTGGGGGATTTTGCTTCTCCATTCACTGTGTCGGCATCCAGAATAGGAATGAGGCACTATTTTCTACATGAGGGAAGCCAACCAAGACAGCTAAAATTTATATCGCAGTATCTCACTTCCGACATTCTGAATGGGTACAGTAGCAAATCGTGCAGCTTCAGATGACATCAATATTTATTTATCTCTTCATTTTTTATTACCAGTTTCATAAGAGCAAAGGAAACCTCAACAGGCCAGACCAGGGTGAGGGTGGGATGTTTCCCATGGTGGCCAAACAGATGCTTCCAAGAAGTCCATGTGCAAGGCCCAATAGCCCTCCCTCGTGGTTCTTCAACAGCATCTGGTATTTAGAGGTATAGTGCCTCTGAAAATGGAGGCTCTAACTGTCATGGATAATAGCTATTGATAGATCTATTCTCCATTTCACTGGTTACATGGGAGGGGGAGTTCTCTCCCCCCCCCCCAAGAAACAATAGTCAAAATTTGACATTTAAAAAAAAGTCCGAGAGGGGTGGTTTATCTTACAAAATGACAAATACCCACTGTTGGTTAACTAAGATGGTTTTCTTCTTAGCTCAATTCATCTTATATATAAGGTGTACTATATACAGTTTCACATGCTGACGTTCAAGCAAAGTCAACATAACAGGAAATTCCAAAATAAATTTATGGCAATTTGTTTCGTTTCTTATAAGGGCACAACTTTTGCATCTTGCCATTCAGTCAACTCTGGTCCTATATTTTTGGTACAGAAAACCCCACAAGAACACTGCATCATCACCATCACACAACTTTGTCGATTCTTCAGCTTCTCCTGTGTTTTGAACAACTACGTGTTACATAGTTATCCAGGCAAAGCTCACTTTCAAAATTGTTCCTTTGTTTGTTTTATAAAGTGCTGACTAGTAAACTGGTCAAAAATGCAGTGAATGAGACCCCAGAAATATCCCATTATTTAGACATATATAAAATAAGATAAATAAAGCTAGATTTCTTAACATATGAAAAAATAGCCATTTAAATAATAAATAAATAAAGCCAGTATTGACACATTGTCTTCCTACTATTAAAAATATTCCACTCTTGTTATAAGGCTCTATTGATGTTCAGAAATCATATATAAAGGCATCCACCTAACCTGGCAAAAGTCACCAAACTTTACTTGCAACCTATGAACACTCAAATACAACTATGCAAGTCAAACAGGAACCTCATACTTAGCTTAATACATTTTGTTCATAAATAAAATTCATTAGCCTCCCCCCAGTTCTGTTTCTGCAAACATTTAACAAGCTGATTTTCCATTTCCTTTGCAGCTGTGCAGTATCTACAATTTAGATCTGTTTCAAATTCAGGATGAACAACATAGAACAATCTCTAAATACAATGTTATGCAGGTTGGAATTCTTTGTTTTAAATTGGATGCTTCTAACTGAGCTCTGGGCTTTTGTGTGATGGCTTTAAACTCTCGCGATAGCACACTTTCTTACAAAAGAAAAAGAGAGAGAAACACCTTACAAATCTTCCTTCTGCATTTCGATGGGCTGCTAGCTCTTTCACACCTCAGGTTTTATGCTGACCATTTTGTGTGATGGGGTTGATCTTTTCCAAAGAAACGTCAGCTTCAAAATCCAAGATACCTGATAGGGCTGGAGAAATTTTCTCCAACGTTTTAGACAGTTCCCCCTCCTCTTCCTTCTTTGCCATGTCGTCTTCTTCTGGGCATATAACAGCATGGGGGATCAGATAGACTAAATTGCATTCTTTGGGGCTGGACCCTCTGGGCTCAAGCTGACTGGAAAAAGCTATGCCCCCATTGTTGTTAATACTAACCGTCTCTATCGCATTGATGGAAGCGGGACAGAGTCTGTAGCATCCCAAGAGAGTAGAGAATGCCTTGCGGAAGTCTGCGTTGAAGGCATAGATGATGGGGTTCAGTGAAGAGTTGGCCCATCCGAACCAAACAAAGACGTCAAAAGTGGCAGAACTAATACAAAACGGTTCTGCTCCCTTGGATTGTATGGTGGGCTCACAGAAGGGCACCATGCAGTTCAGTATGAAAAAGGGTAACCAGCAGCACACAAACACCCCCATGATCACCGACAAAGTCTTCAAGACTTTAGTTTCTCTCTTGAAGGACATTTTGAAGGAACTTTCTGGCTGCTGGCAATCCATGCTGCTTCCATTGCCGGCGGGGGTTTGGCAGTTTTTGGCGTGCACGGCTGCTCTTTCCAAGGCGGAAATGCGCCTGATTTGCTTCTGAGCAATCCTGTATATCCTCGTATAGGTGACTATCATGATGGCCACTGGGATGTAGAAGCTGATGAGGGAGGAAGAGATGGCGTACATCCTGTTTAAGCTGGAGTCGCAGTTGTCCATAGCTACCCCTTGGAAAGTGGAGTTCAGGTCTAAGAAGCTGGTGGTTTTAGCCTTGTGCCAGTTCAGCTGCACTGGGATGAAGGAGATCAGCACAGACAAAGTCCATGCCACACTGATCATAATGAAGGCTGCCCTTGGGGTCATTTTCCTCTCATACCTAAATGGGCTGGAGATGGCCCAATATCGGTCCACACTGATGACACACAGGTTTAAGATGGAGGCTGTGGAACACATGATATCAAATGCCACCCAAATATTACAGAAGGACCCAAAAGGCCAGAATCCAGCTATCTCCGCCACGGCTTTCCAAGGCATGACCAAGACAGCTACTAACAAGTCTGAGACTGCCAGAGAGATCACAAAGAAGTTGGTCACCTTGGACCTCAGGTGGCGGAACCTGATGACCGCAGCACAGACCAGTGTGTTCCCTAGGAGTGTGGAAAGAATCAGCAAGGAAAGGAAGCAGCCAGTGAGGATCCGAAAGCAGGAATCCCTTTTCACAAGCATCCCTTCCCCGTCCATAGTGGTGTTGTTCCAAATCATGTTTCCTCCCAAGGCAAGATCATATCATGGGGGCTTGCGATGACATCAGCTCATGTCCTTGCAGAGCTTGCAAAAGAGACATCAGGTGTCCATTAATTACTCACCACCAGGCAGACCCCCACTAAGGATTGTGCTAAAGTCTCTTCGCTCTCGGGAGGGATCCCATCATCCTTAGGAATCTCATTAAGAAACATCAGGCATTCTGTGGCAAGTATCTGAAACTGACTGTCACAGTCATGGTTTTCCCCCTCCAGTAATCCTTCCTGAATTTCAGCCTAAAATGGAATACTCTTAAGCAGAACAGGCCAGTACAAAAATCTTCAGAGTCCTGTACAAATAAACTCAGCATCCCAGGGGCACAATCACTCTCCAGCCTACATGGATTCTCCCTTAAATAGGCTATTGATTCAGTTTGTCCAGTGTCCATTTAACTAGCCCTTCAGCTCTATTGAAGCAGAACACATTAGGTGCTTTTGTTTCCGATTTAATTTTCCATCCCTTCCATTGGCGGGACATTTTTATATACATACTCTTTCAGACTTTGTCCCTTTCTGCTACCAAAATTTAAAATGTCAGTTCTGTCTTTACAAGTAGATTCAGAAATCAGCTCCTCATACTGTTCCACATTGTTTTTAAGATTCACAGTCCTAGAGGCAAAGAAAATAAATTTACATTTTAAGACATTCAATACCTAAGAGATCACAATTTATTTGTCTTTTTTTTAAAAAAAAAGTAGAAATTTTCCAAGTCCTACCTTTTTGACTGTTGATGCTCTAGTGTTGTCCAGGGAAGAACATTTTCCTTTCTACTTTATTGAGAATTTGAATTGCATAGCAAAGCACAAAAGACAACAATCGCAGCTGCCGGGCTGCATTGCATCAGGTATAATCTTCTGACGTTATGTAGGGTAGGCAGGTATGTGGACCTGCAGGTGTGCATTTTATTATTTTTATTATTAGCAAAATCCACCAGCCCTAACTTTCGAGATCTCTCCTTCTAAATTAGTCTTCTGAGGATGTGGACGAGCTCCTTCCTTTTCAGTGCTCCCTTGCGATTCATGTGTAAACTCTGTGCATCAAGTCAGTCCCCATTTGGGTGCTCATCACCCAAGTCACGTTTTGTACATCCCGTCGAAGTGGCCCATCAGGATGAAATCATCCCAAGCAAAGGCACAATATTTCCAATTATCTGGCAAAGATCTGGGAGAAGTTCAGCTTGTCTTGTAGCCGTCATTGGACGAAGGGAGGGAGGGAAGGAAGGAGTAGGAAAAAGACCTGAGTGCAGATCCCTTTGGCCCTTGATGTAGTTTCCCAGCCACCGACTATTATGTGCAATTGGAGTTTGTTAAGAAGCTGAGGGCCTTCACTGTAGAGCGACTTTCTCTTGTTTCTCTGAGGAGCATCCACCTTCTCCCTACAGCTCAAGATTGTGGCATCCCAGAGATCAGATCGTAGCCAGTCCCTCTCCCTTAAAAACACATCCAGGAACAGCAGCTTCCTCAGGGTCGTCTGTTCTCCACCTCCGGGTTTACATCTCTGATCCCAGGTGCTCTTTCTTCAGCATGCTGAGCCAGGGACCCTGACGGCACACGATCCTCCTTGCCCAGAGTGGCAAGCAGCAACATTGCCATGCAAGAAAAGATCTGTATATTCGAGGTTTCTTTCCTAAATCACAGAGGAGGGAAAGCCAAGCATGAGGCAGAGAAACTGACAAGCAGGAGCCCCTCAGATTGCCTTAAAATTCAAGCAGCCTCCCCTGTGGAGAGCATGGAGGAAAACACAAAACTCTTTTCCCATACTCTCCAGGCAAGCACAACAGGAAGCATTAATTACCCAAATATTCAGATTTTGAGCAAGCTCTATTAATTTAAACTCTCCAATACTACATTGCTCTCAGGAGCACTATCTCACAATCGTCCCAATAGTCAAGGAGTGCTGATTTATCCTGACAGTCAACGGACATAGGTGACAAATTAAATTATTTTGGAATAGTCCATGAAAGTGCACACCAAGCAAGCCCCCGAGACCTAAGACCCGGGAGATGCCTGATTAGCAATGCCATTTGGCATACATACACTTTTATATGTGACTGTGTATAGCCACATACCGAGCACAAAAGAATGTAGGCATTTCAATTCTCCTAAGTCACCCTTTGTATTTAAAACCAGAGCGCTATAGAAATAACAAGCAAACACCACAAATGAACTCTGCCGCCTTGCCACGAACCCCAGCTCCCACAAACGAAAACACACACATAATCCAACCTGACACCAAGATCTGAAACTCATCTTTGCCCTCTGGCATGGACCTACCAACATAGAGAAGTCATTTATACCACCGTGTCGTGGCTGTTGCAGAGTGTAGTGGCTGTTGCTCCCAGCTGAAAGATCAACGCTCACCTCATCTTTTTCCTGCTGGTTTATTTCTGGTCCTCCTTTCTCTCTCCCCCCACCCCCCACTATACATCACCACTTTCTCTTTGCAGTTCACTGTGTTCACTAACTTCCCATGTCGCAGACTTCTGCGTGGGCCTGGCTCCCTCTTATGGCACAAAAGAGAAGCACTTCCCCATATTAACAGATGCCATTATTTGTTTTGTTTCCCTTATGTGTGGCTGTGTATTTGTGCAAGGAAGGGGCGTTAAGAGTCAGGGGGAACACAACTCTTGTCCCTAGTATATATAGTACATACAAATCCTAAAGCAGACCTGCAGCTAAATAGAAAAGGTGTCTTTCTAAGCGTAACTTCAGGCCTAATCATTCATTGCTTCAAAGGAGTAGTCTGGTATAGATGTGCCAGTTTCAACCACTTTTCCCCATTTAAAAAACAAAAACAAAAAACCCCTAATTAATCATACAGGCGGGAGGCAAGGAGAAGAAGCTCTCCTTTGCCCTGCATTCCTTACCAAAAGCAGGAGGAATTAATTTTGCAGCTGCTCCTTTGCAAGCATGTTCTCTGAGAAGCTGTTTGCAAAGAAGTGCCCTGCACCAGGCAGGAAAGTTGGGGTCCATTCCAAGGGATTTCCTGACTTTCCTTCTTGCCTGATGCCTTGGCCCCTGGGCATAGGCACTGACTCCTAGGGGCTGAAGCAGTTTTGGAGGCCCCAATTTTTTTAGGGGACTGGGCCTCCTCAATGTTCAAAGGACATTGGCTCTGTCCCTGGCTCCTGGACATCACATCAGGACCCCTCAAATAACTAAAGAAGATGGTGTCTCTGGCCCTGGGCCATCCAACCTGGCAAAGAAGGCAGATATCTCATTTAAATCCCTTACTGGTTGTCTATAGGCCCATTTTGGAAAGACTTGGAAGAGGCACCCTTATCAAATTGGCTTAAAGGAGTTTGACAATTGGCCCTAATAGGGAAATGGACCAAATAAATATGACTAGCTAAAAAAGAGGCACAAGGGCTCATTTGCAACTGCTTGGTACTGTTTTATTGATTACATGAACAAGAAAAGCAATCCTGAACTCTCACAGACATCCAGGCTGCTTTGGTCCTCCCCAGACGGTGGAGATCTGGTTCCAACAGCTACTCAGAAGTGATGTTCACTGGCTGGTCTTTGAGCCTAACCCTCTTCACAGAGGACTTCTGAGAATACAATGTGGCAGGATGGCATTTGCTACTTTGAAATATGATCAATGTACAAAAAGGTGATTGGTGCACAGTCTTAGGGCATGGCATGCCCATGGTATAACCAAGTCTTCTGGCACATCACACTGACTAGGCACTTGTAGCCTTCATTCTCCCATGTGGAGGAAGCTAGGCTGGTCACCAAAAAAGCACTCAGATTTGAATAAAATGTGCATGTGTGCTAATTTATATGCATTGGCACCAATTTGGAAAGAGTGGCTCTAGATTCAAAAGAAATTCAAAACATTTCACCATTGAGGGGAGACTCCAGGCAAACAACAATAATTATCAGAGTTCAAGAAATTCCAGGGAGGCAAAAGACTCAGAAGGATGCTGACCAAGTGAGAGATGTGGTGCGAGAGCAGAGGGGCAGTTGCTAGGGGTCAAAGGCTATTTCTGCATCAATATACCTGCCTCCAGTGTCCTGGAGGTGCTCAATCAGCATGAAAGGAGAGCTTTTGAGCCACTGAGAAGAGGTCTCAGAGTGAAAGCAGTGAGACAGCCACTGAGGATTGACTCCTAGGGTCACTCTGGAGAAGGAATGTGGGGAGACCATAGAGAAGTTGGTCTGTATGCTCCAAAGCTAAACATTTAGGAACACTGAAAATGCACAATGCTTCAGTTTCAAGACAATGGTGTGCAAGTTCCGTTTCCTACATCGGAACGTCAATGTAAGCACAATGTAAGTCACTCCAAAAGCAGATATTGGAGCACTCCAAATCATTTGCCCATGAATGTGCACAGAAATAGTAGATCTAGCTCAAAGGCAACACATAGAGATCTGTGTTTGCTGTTGCAGTGCATCCCTAATAATGATTATTATATGATTATAAGATTATTAAATAATGTTATAGTCTTAGATGGGAGAGGAGGTATGAGGGGACATGTCTGCAGTGACTATCATGAAGTGACCCTGCATATCTGACTTTGTCACTACACTGCTGCCCAAAGGGGAGTGTGGACTGGGATTAATCCCAATAGCCAAATCAAGAGACCTGGGTGGAGCTGCATTTGGCATCTGGGCTTGAGGTTTCCTAACCCTGATCTATGGAGACAAGTTAAATAATTTACAACAGTCATGGGAGGTTAGAGGTAGAGGTAGGGTAGAGAGGTTGGGAATTGACATGGTACTCCAATGTTTCTTTGAATTTTGTTGACTTGTTTTTGTAACACGTTAAGAAAAGATTTTTAAAAATAGATGCATAAATGGATAGATAAATGATAGATATTAAAAATCCATATTGGTGCCAGTAGGCATATCTAAGCTTTAAAGAAACTTCAAAATGTTGAGGGGTTTTTTTCTTTCCAAACACTCCAGCATGAAGAAAGAACCTGTTTGCCCTTTTGTTTAATCTGCAAAGTTCTAAAGAAAGCGATGGATATGAAGAGTCTGACAACATAATGAAAGGCTTTTCAAACGTTGAGATTTTGTGAAAGCAAGATTTGTGATCAGCTCATTAGGATAATCTGTTTTCATTATTTGAAAGAAAACCTTGACACCCCACTGTGGTCAAGGTAGTTCAGAGAAATGTGATTGAAGAGTTTCCTAAAAGCTGAAATGGCAGTACACTCACTCTGATACAAGCGCGTGGATTGCACATCCTGATGTGCTTTTCTTGGAGGGAGTTGTTGCGTATTTAAATCACACTGCTTTAGGACTTCTGGGTCTGCCGTGGGCAATGGCACATGGCAGAGATTGTTCGCACTGAGTGACCCGCTTGCTGTGAGGAGACAGGAGGGTAGCGAGGGCAACACATCTTCTCTTAAAATAGTTCAAAGGTTTTTAGTTCGGGTTCTGGAGTGTCCAGCGGTGTCGGTAGATGTTCTCACGGAGTTCCTGAAGCTCCAGCAGGAGCTGTGGGAGGCTCTGAGATTGAGCGCAGACACACGGCATGATTGAGACCCCGCAGCAAGAAGCCTTGAGATCCGTCATTAAAGCGGCAACATCTCTAAAAGGAAAGGATTTGGGACCAATCTGGATATGGTAAAAGGACTTAAAATCTAGAGATTTTTCTACCACGAACATTGTCTGACCACAACTCTCTAATAGTGGAATTAAGAACAGGGAAGAATTTCCCAATGAGATGGAGACTAAATGAAAATTTATTAAATGGTCAAGAAATATTAGGAAAAGGGGCAAAAAAAAAAAAGGATTCCTTTGAAATTAAGGTAAACCAAGAGGCAGATTTAAAGGTGGTTTGGGACATGAGTAAAGCGGTCATGTGGGGTTTCTTTATACAACAAAGCGCGTACCAAAGAAAGATAAGAGAGATGAAAAAACAAGAAGTTTTACAAGAAATAAAAAGAAAAGACAAAGAATTAATAATTTCCCCATGAAAAGAGATAGTGAAACAGGACAGTAAGATATTGCAAACACAATATTCAATTATAATAAAACAGGAAATAGAATGGAAAATTAAATATTTAAAACAGAAACAATTTGAACAGGCTAATAAGCCAGGGAAACTACTAGTTTGGCAAAGAAAGAAAGAAACCTGTATTGATAAAATAAATATAGAAGGAAGAGTAGTTTTTATACAGAACTTTATTGAGCTAAACAGGGTAACTTAGAAGAAACGAGTAAATATTTAGAAGACAGTGGAATACCTAATATAGCAAAAGATAAAATGACATCTTTGAATGGACCAGTGACAATGATGGAAATACAGTGATGCCTCGCAAGACGAAAAGAATCCGTTCTGGGAGTCTCTTCGTCTAGCGGTTTTTTCGTCTTGCGAAGCAAGCCCATTGACGGATTAGCGGATTAGCGCTATTAGCGCTATTAGCGGCTTTTAGCGGCTTTTAGCAGCTTATCAGCTTATCGGATAAGCAGATAAGCGGCTTAGCGACTTAGAAAAGAGGGGGAAAGGGAAAAAAAACCCCAGGAACTCGCAAGACATTTTCGTCTTGCGAAGCAAGCCCATAGCAGATTCATTTTGCGAGGCACCTCCAAAACGGAAAACTCTTTCGTCTAGCGAGTTTTCCGTCTTGCGAGGCATTCGTCTTGCGGGGCACCACTGTACAAGAAGTAATTTTACAGAAAAAATTGGGGAAGACACCTGGACTTGATGGACTTTCAGCAATATATTATAAAAAGCTACAAGAGTACCTTATACAACCTTTAAAGGAAATTATGAATATGACCTGAAATACAGGGGAGCTGCCAGAATCCTAGAAGCATGCTTATATAACTTTGATCCCTATGCAAGATAGAGATCCACAGCTGATTAAAAACTATTGATCTATATCTTTGTTGAATAATGATTATAAATTTTTTGCAGTTATATTAACCAACAGGTTGTAAGATGTATTAAAAGGTAATCCATCAAGATCAGGCCAGATTCTTGCCAGGAAGACAAATGAAAGATAATATCAGAAATATAATTGATGTAATAGAATATTTAGCAGTGAGAAATGAAAAATAAGCAGCCTTAATGTTTTTAGATGCAGAAAAAGCATTTGATAATGTCTCCTGGGATTTTATATGTTTAAATTTTTGGACTATATGAGAGACACTTTTATAAAAGGAGTTAAAGCACTGTGGAGACACTTTTATAAAAGGAGTTAAAGCAATATACATATAGAATCACAGCAAAATCGATAGTAAATAACGTACTGACTATTGTAAAATTACTGAAGGTACTAGACAAGGTTGTCTACTGTCATCTTTATTGTTTATATTAGTTTTAGAAGCTTTG